CTGTGATTCTGTGTGTGTTTGCAAGTTTTTGTCTTTTTTAGTCAAAGTATACATCAGTCCTACCTAGCTTGCACACCGTAAAGAAGCAATCAAAATACCATTTCAATTCTAGTAAGTGGTATTTTATAACACTTATCACCTTACTTCACCTTACTTGATTGGCAAAATCAATTATTACTTACATTGTGGGTARATTATTCCTGTGAGGAGCCGGGTTTCCAAGTTCTGAGTCTAGGAGACAGTCAGGTGGATCCACATGAGCTGCTCCACGTGGTGCACCTTGCTCCATGCACTGGTACAGGTCAGGTGGGAGATCCACACGAGCTGCTCTGCAGGCCACTCCTTGCTCCATGCCTTGATTTGGATCAGGTGGGAGACCCATATGAGGCACTGCACAGCCGCACCTTGATCTGTGCCCTGATTCAGTTCAGGTGGGGCAGCAGGTGTTTACCCTTTTGCTTTGCCAGAGACTCGGGATAGACTCTATAGGCTTTTAGTGTCTCAAGAAGTGTTTGCCRCTCTCCAAGGAGGGAGGCTGCCTTTGGGTCACTGCCTGTACACTTACCCCCAGGGTGACTCCTATGCAGCGGCTGGATCATAAACACTGTGTGCAGTTAACGTYCGACAGTCCTCCTGTGCCCAGGCTGATTCACCAGGACTGTGCAATCAGCTTCCTGTTACTTTTGTTCTTCGCTTGCTGCTGGAACAAGTGCACTCCTGTCCTTGAAGCTGGTCCAGCAAGGCACCCTGTGCTACTCCCTGTTTGCTGATAGAACCCTGCACTGCTGTCCTTAAAGTGAGCCTCCACATTCAACAACAAAATTTTAATTTACTAGGCCTCTGACTTACAAGCCCCCTTTTTTTTTTCTCCCTTACTAAAAATCATTATGGAGAGGATGCTGCAATCAGAACCTAAAACAAAAAGACATGTTTATTTCTTTGAAACCACAGAAGTACCTTATCCAATTTTGGGTAAAAGAATTTGAATTGTAAAAAAAAAAATCTTTTATGTAAAAGAATTGGAATTGTAGCATAATATTACAATTGCAATATTTCTCTTGTAGAGAAACCATTACTTAAGTCCAGTTAGTGAATTGGACCTGTTTTCTATTAATACATTTTCACATTTTCTTTTTACTGTTTTGCRTTTCCCTCAGAAAAAGAGAGACTTTTATGCAAGTATGTGATTTTGGTTACTTTGTAAGTTACAAAGTTTGTTTTGTTACTTTATAAGCACTGACTGAACTCTGTGTTAATTCTTTAGTGTTAACATACAACCCCAAAAAGTTACAATTCACCTTTCCTTAACATTTAAAAGTCAGTCAGTGCTTACCTTATAAGCACTGACTGAACTCTGTGTTAATTCTTTAGTGTTAATGTAYAACCCCAAAAAGTTACAATTCACCTTTCCTTAACATTTAAAACTAACCATGCAATTTATTTACTTGGTCTTTTAAAGAAATACTCATATTTTAAGATGTCTTTTTTAAAAGATATATTGCATTCCTACAAAGCAAAGTTGCAGCTTAGTCTTTTGCTGTTTTCTGCCTAATATTGTCTTTAAATAACAAGAAAACAAATTAATCTATGTCAAAGTATGAATTAATACCAGCTGAAAACAAGAAAACAAATTAATCTATGTCAAAGTATGAATTAATACCAGCTGCAAACAGAAGTCTTCTTAAAGGTAAGATAAAACATAAAATATGTAAAAAAATTTTAATAACGTTTGAAATTAAATGAAAAACAACTTTGAAGCTATGAAAAAAGCTATTGAATATACCTTATACTCATGAAAAAGTGTCCAAATTCAAAACGTTCCAAGTGTCCTGATGAAGACTGATTTTTGTCCAAGGCAACTGTACTTTGCTTCTATGGTGCCAAAAAAGGAAACACAATTTATAACAAATATTTCTTTTGCTATTCAAGTATCAGAAACGATGACTGTAGCACAGAAATGTGGACTACTTTAATTAAAAAATTGTAACTTTTTTCCAAATAATTAGAATTGTATAAAGTATCCTGTAATTACTTATWAATAATACTGAATAAGAACAACATCTACTTTCCCATTCATTTCTGCATCTCTTCATAATGATCTTGTTGATGTACTTGCAAGATCAACGTCGCATAGTCACATTTCGGAAAGGAAAAAGAGTGTTTCACACATTCTCAAGTAATATTTTTAACACTCTGTTTTGCAATATGCAGTGCCTGAATGGTAAATTTCTTCCTGGAGGATTTTTCATGTTAGTGGAATAAGCAARCTTTCTTTTTCCATAGGGCCCTGTGTGAACACATCTTATTGTCTTTACTCATACACAATCTTTGCTCAGGAACTGGTGACCACAAYTAGGATGAGCCCTCTCCGTTAGGGATCACTGTCCCATAAATAAAACTACTTCAGCAAGACTTAATTCCAAGTTCATGAATGATGAATTGTCCTCTAGAACTTGGAAATTTTGCTCTGGGGCTACAGACTCGAAAAGAACAAACAAACGACAAAAAAAAAAAAAACCCATCACACAAACAAACCAACCCCCCTCCACACACCATGGAATTATGACTTAATATTTGTAAATAAAGCCATTTTTATACTTGGATTTATCAAAATTTTGGATGCTTGTTTGTTTTTAAAATGGAGAATAAATCTGTTCACTATAAATATGAAGGACTCTGTGTAATTCATAAGGAAGATTTATTTTTATTCTCATTAAACCTTAAAACTTTTCCTTACAAATTAAGAAATGCTGCAAACCCTTCAGGCTATAACTTACTGATTGAAAATATGTACCCCACTGAAATCCCACCTGTATTGTCTTTCTCAAGTCAGGCATTTTGTGTCACTTGAATATAGGCTCCTACCAAGAAAATTCCACCCTGGCAGGTGTGTTTTACATTTACTATCAAAGAACAATAAGCAGTCTGCATCTTTTTTTTTTTTTTTTTTAAACAATAAGCAGCCTACACCTTTTTTTCATTTTCTTGAGGGTGGGAGGGGAGGTACACATTTTAAAATATTGTTCATAAAGGCGATTCTCTTGTCTTCTTCAAATAAATTTTGATTTACTTTTAAAGCTTCTTTTATTCTTTACTTTATAGACTGGAGAATCCAGAAATTCTGTATCTGTAAATTGATCTCCACGCCTTAATTTGCTGTAAACAAAAGAAATAAATGCAATAGATGAACAATTCCAAAAGGTAAATTCTATCAGTGAAAGCTTGGTACACAAAAGAAATTAAATCTGTGAAAAAAGTATGAAATAGCAAGATACAGACAAAAGTTATTTTCCAAAAACAGTGCTAAAAACTTACTATTTTTATGTGAAGCATATCATATTAATTACATGTGTAATTGTAACTTACTCCTTTAAGACAAAATGCAAAAGAGGATCTAAACCACATATCTAATAGAATCCATTTGGACAGTCTATTTGAAAACGTAAAATATAAAGAAAAAAGAGTACCTAAAATCTCAAGTGAAATACAATTTTTTTTCTTACTGTTACTGGCTTATTGTCTCTCTCCAGAAATACAGAACTTAATCATTGTGGGATCTAACAGGGGAAGGTGTCAATACTATAATACTATAACATTATTTTAGCATGTAATTCAGATCAGTAAAAGAAAAACTTAACTCTAGTCTTTCTGCATTTCTTTTGCAGTTTTATGGCATAAATATCTTAAAAATATTAGGAACTAGTAGTATGAAAAGACACTTTCTTTGCTATTCTTTGCTCCTGTTTTTCCTTAGTTTTCCTTGCTGTTGTTTGCTTACTTATATATGTAAAWAAAAATACATATATTTTTGTCCTCAAAACATGTTCTCAATGCATGAGAACATTAGTTTAATTCTCTTTTTCAGTTCATAGATTTATTTTCTTTTATTATACTTTAAGAAAATYTTGATAATGTCTTTCGCTCATGGATGTGTACTCTACTAATGCATAAAAGCAGAGAGATGATTTTTGCTTTAAATTAATATTATATTGTTTCTTATCATAACATAAATCTCTCAGAATACATCTTCAAAATTAATCAMCCTAAAAGTCAATCAAGATTTAGCTTTACTCCATTTGATGTAYATGCAAATACATTATTTTCCTATGCAAGTACTTGATACTTAAATTGCCTTTAAAATTTTAATAGCTATTACATAATTTCCTTCCTATCTTCTTAACAAATATGGAAAGCCTGATTTGCRTTACTGAACTTGGTAAGAACATGGAGAGGTAATTAACTATCAAATGCATCTGAAATTCAAATGATTGCTTATATTAGATACAGTTAGTTGCAGCAAAAATGTTGCATTCCATAACACTAACACAAAATTGTCTTGGCACATGGCAAGATTAAAAGAACATTATTAAAGTGAAAGGTTACATCACAGTTCAACGTTTACAAATATACATCCCAAAGGGTTTATGACATATTAAACAAAGAACTCATCACTTTTCACCATAGTTTAAAATAAGAAAAGTATAAAATTACTAGAATAAATTAAAAATTTTATATTTGGATTTTAGCTTTTAAGTCAGCATTCTTCAGTACTGCTTCGGCCCGTGGAAATCCTGTTGTAACAAGAAACAACATCAATACTGATTTTACATTAGTATTTACATCAGTATTAAAGTATCCTTCCAATCAAGTTTAGAGAAAAAATTGTGTTGAAGATTTATTTAGCAAAATAAAAATCTTTATTATGGATAGTTCTGTACTAAAATAATAATAATAATAATAAAATTTACTTACACCTACCTGTTTATTTTGGGTTCTTTGTAGCAGAGAGTGGCTCTTTCTCGTCTAGCACGTACTACTGAATTTTCTTGTAAAGTTTGGGGGGATTTAGGCAAGGATGTGCGAAAAGGTACATCAGCATTTGTCAGATCTTGCAAACCCTTTCTCTCTGTGAATGCAGTAGTTTATATGCTTCATTCTAAACATTTTCTGAATCAGTAAGTAAATTTTCAATTCATAATTACTTTAATTTAGTATTTATTTCACATGATTGGTTGCTGCTCCTAATCTGAAGATGCTCATCAAACAATGGAATATGTCAGCAAAAACACTGCCACTACAGCAGCTTTCKCCTACTCTAGTATGAGTTGTCTGAGGACTCAGCTAGCTACTTAAGGTTTCCCCAAAGCTATTGCTACACCCAGAATAAAAGTAAAATTGCAAACAGGTCACAGCCTTGAATGCAAAGGGATGGCACAGGTTTATAATTCAAAGATTCAATCTGTATGAAGTTACAAAGAATCACATTTTCCAACTTTATGATAGCTTTGTTAAAAAAAAAAAAAAAAAAAACAATCTAGTGAGGCTTTAAGTGAACCGTCACTTAAATGAATGACCAATTATCTGTTATGTCTACCCTGAAATGAATAAATTATAACACTGACTATTCATATGTTAAAGAAAAGATTTTCTTTCTTTGCAGTAACATCAATATCTTGCACACTCTTTAAATGTTCAAACTGATTGTAGTTTTCCTAATTATACTTGTAAGTATACATTGTAGTTGAAGTGACTTTGGGCAGCTTGCAATAAGTCCTTCATGACTTACAGGAGCAAAAAGTTTCTTTTTTTTTTTTTTTTTTTCCTCATTTGTCAGAGTATGCTTTTTCTTTAACGAAGAGCACTGTCTCTTTCATTTAAATGACAGGAGGTTCTCTCATGATGAAAGACCTGACTGTCCCAACTCTGACTGTCCCACAAAACAATCTCGACTTGGATGAACTTTAAATGAGAATGATCAAAAAGTTTCTTTTTTTTTTTTTTTTTTTTTCCTCATTTGTCAGAGTATGCTTTTTCTTTAACGAAGAGCACTGTCTCTTTCATTTAAATGACAGGAGGTTCTCTCATGATGAAAGACCTGACTGTCCCAACTCTGACTGTCCCACAAAACAATCTCGACTTGGATGAACTTTAAATGAGAATGATTAGAAACTTTTGTGCCAGGAGATTTTCAAGACCTACTTTTAAGCATAGCTCAAGAGAGTGATGCAGAGGAGCTGGGGTCATCAGAAAGCACTGCATTTCTTTTCGTCCTTTTAATTCCAAGTACAAYGTACATGTTTTTGAACTATATTTAAATGAATGAAGATCAAATGATTAACTTGCTTCTTTTAAAGTCAATAGTCTTCAATACTGCTGATCAGAAGGCTTTATTAACTTCATTACCATGGAAAATAATGAAGTTATAGGACTCTATTCTACCTTCAAAAGAAATCTAAAATAGGAAGAAGCAGCCACAAACTACCAAAGGAATCTTGCAGTGTTCTGCTCTTATAAAATAGGAGATTTGTCAATAGTTTCATGGCATTCAAGTGAAGCAAGAGCAGTATTAGACTAAGAATTCAGGTTTAGAATTCAGAATTAAATCTATTGACCTGAGCTAGGAAACTGACTCTAGTATAGGTGTGTTACTTATATACTCATTTACTACCTTTAAAGTAATYTTACTGTATGATAAATTAATTCAAAAGTTTTATCTTATAGTTTATTGTAAAGTTTGATTTTTTACCTTAATATTCCTTATTTTAAAAAAATCATATGCAAGTATATTCATAAACAGATACTCCAGAAGAGCTGCTCAAAATACCTTCTCTAAAGGCCCTTGCTATTTCTAATTCTCTTTGAATTAGTATTYCTATAGAATTACAGATTAAATCTGTAAACCTAGTTACTGAATTTTGCCTCTATCCTCCATACACGAATGGAGCAATGTAGTTCACCGATCTCCCTTTTGTGCTAAGGCCCAAATTATTTTTATCTTTTTATCCCTAACTAATCCTATCACTCTTTTGTAAAATTAGTACAGGCTCCAAATTTAACTCCTTTTCAAGAATGTAGACTACTTGCAACTGCCTGCCTAAACATCATCCTGGAATATAATACAAAAGAATAGGAATAGTAATTACAACTTGAGAATATATCATGACTGAGAATACGACAGAGGATATGAATAATGACAGTGATTTTCTGTCTTACCTTCCACTACTCAGATTTTAGCCAGTCTAAGCAAAGAATAAGAATGGGATATTATTCAGTGAAGATTTGCTACCACTATTCCAGGAATTATGCAATTGTAAAAAAGCTCTTTTTTCCATCCTCCATAAACTCACCATGACAAGCTGTCAGAGACTTTTTACAAGTTTCTGTAGTAGTGYTATCCAATTTCTTCTCTGCTATGTCAGCATCCAGTGTTTTAGAATGATCATTTCTTCCATAGATTTCATATTTTTTCAGGTTAGACAAGTTAGACATTGAAACATTATGGCAATCAACAGATGGCAGTTCCATATAGGGAAGACATTCCTGAAAAAAACTACCTGAATTTAATGACATGTTCTCAGAGCAATCTACATCTAAGATTTAAGAATTCTGATTTTTGTGCTGTAGGCTTTAACTTATTTATACAGGGGCTTACCTCAGGCAGGACTTTCTCCTTGTCCAAAATATTTTCCTYGCCTTGGTCAACATTCCTAACATCCTTCTCTTTTGGTTTGATCTCAGTAAGATCAGAAATAAAGCTCTGTTTAGTCTTCTTTTGATCATCAGTAGAATTAATAAAGTAAGGTTTTCTATGTGCGATTGATGTGGAATCTATCTCTTTCTTTAAGATAGCAGATTTCTGATCAGCCTTTTGTTTTGTGGAGGAACTATCCTGCAGTGCAGTCATAGCTACACCAGCCTGAGAACCTAAGGCTCCTTGTAGTAGCTTTGTTTTAGCTATTTTATTTCCAYGGACAACATCTATATGCAATGAGTTTTTACTTTTTAACCCTTCAGATCTACAAAACGTGAATTGCTTACGGTTTTCTGTTGGTACTATGCATACTTTCCATCTAGCTTTTGCTAATGTACATTTTAATCTGCCTGGTGAAACATTACTCCTTCGGTCTATTTTCTGAATAACTTTATGAACGCTATCATTTTGACTTTCTCCTCTTGGTCTGTAACTGCGTTTTTGATTGCATTCATTCTTTACAACAYTCTTCTGCTCTTCTTCTCTTTCACTGTCACATTGGCATATCTTTGTTTGAGACTTTTCTGAACCATGTTCTCTATACTGCCCATTTTCCTCTCCACAGTATTGTGCCGAGTTCCTTTTAGAAGGATTCTGCAAGGCTTTTCTATTTATTTCTGGGCTGATATGTTTCTCACTTGTATGTAGAAACTTCTGCTGCAAAGACGATGTATTAAAGATGTTACCTTGCAACAGACAACTTTCATCACAATAAACTTCAGGTGGTAATTTATTAATAGATGTGTTAGAGTTTGCTTTTTGTACCTTGTTTTCCTTATCTTCAAACCATTCTGGGCAAAAGTCTTCCTTTGTTCCCTCTGGTTTCCTTGGACTCATGAGGTTAACCAAGTATGGCCTTCTGGTATCTTTAGCTTTATTTAGGCCGTCTTGTGCTCGATAATATTTGCTRGTATTTTTAAAACTCTGTTGAGCTAAGGAATGCCTTGTAGGTAACTGTCCTGATTCTGTCTGGTTTTTGGATATTTCAATTCCTAAGTCATTAGTTTCTGAATCTGTACTACTGTCTGTCTTAGGGTGTATTCCTTCTGCATATGAATTGGAACTTGTTTTAGGCTTGCCTTTAGTTTTTTCTTTAGGATGTTTTACTCTTCTGAAATTTGCTGATTTGCTGATAGAAGTGGCACTGCTGTTTTTATTTTGGTGCAGTTTATCTTTTGATGTAACTGAAAGTAGCTCACCTACATTACTGGCAGTCAGCTCCATATCAGCATCATAAACGGTTTCTTCAGACTTGATCTTGTCTACAGGAATCTTAAAATCAGTGTTACAGTCACTGCTAAGTGGAAGGGGTGAAGGAATACTGTCAGACAAGTCACTGGGTCTTGCCTGCAAGTTCACGTCACTGGTGTTGCTGCCACTAATACCACAGTGAAGTAGGTTGGAACTGTGTATTTTATCAAAATTCTTTAGATTATATTGAGGTTTTGACCTATCAGGTACTGCATGCTGCTTTCTCTCAGTCACATTTTCACAGAATGCAGGCTTCTTTCTTTCAGACACATTTTTACAGAATGGCAATGAACCATCAGTATGTTGTTTTGCTAGCTCCTCCGACTGGCCCAGATATTGTGCATTTTCGGTGCGAGTCAGGAAGTCATTGTAATTTAGCGCTGTACCTAACTGATTTTCTGAAAGCAAAGAGAGAAATTTCAGCAGTTTTGGGAAAAAGAGAAAAAAAATAGAGCAGAGCTTTTAGCATCAGACAGAATACTGAAGGTTAGACCATTGGACCACAAGCATGGAAAACGTCAAGATGATTTTTTCTAATCAATATACCTTCTCAATATTTCGACATATGAAAAGGTTACTTAAGAGTTCATGTTGCCTAATACCAAAGTGAGATTTTTGCAATTAAGTATGAGTAAAAAATTATTATTTGACCGCTTATTATTATGTTAGCATTATTCAGTTTGTGTTAGTTTTTATTATTATTTTTTTTTTCCTCACTTTTCCCCCTGTGAATATTATTCTACAAATTATTCTCAGGACACCTATACTTACAGCATTCTATACATAAAATTACACCTTCTATACCTTCTTCTTACACCTATACATAAAGCACTTAAGCATTCTATTCCCAATGTGTTAGCACTTCCAGACTCTTATCATAGAGTCTATATTGCACAAGAAGGAATGAATCACCAAGCACAGTGTCTGTGACCTCTGAAAAACTTATCACCCATAGAGAAATTCATTATACCTTTTAAAAATGCGTTGGTGTCAACAAAGGCTTCCACCTGGTCTATTCCATCTGACCTGGGGTTGTTTTTATTAGACTGTAGCGATGGTGCAGACCTGGGCTGAGCTGAGTTTACCTCCTTTGACAAAACAGTACTTTTACAAGAATTTAGTACTTCAGAAGGACTATGCTGTTCTTCTGCATTAGATGTTGCAATTAAGGGAAGGTTCATTGGCAGTTCCAGAGATCTAAAAAGAGGAAATTTTACTGTGAAGAGTACTATATTTTACATCATAACATTCACTTAATACAGTCCCTTAGCAATGTATAAAACAGAAAACAGGAACTCCAGTATGAAATGTGATTTACTTCTGGCTCTATCTTAGGTAAAATATATTTTTTTCAGATAAAAATACTTGCTTTGCATTGAATAAACTGGTTCTTTGTGATAATTCACCAATCTTTTTCTACCAGTACTGCTCATAATTCCAAGCCACAAATAGGTAATTTCTGAATTGGAAGATGTCTTTCTCATCACTTCAAAAACATTGAAATGTACATTTTTAGTTGTAAAATAATATTAAAATCTATGAATTCTTAGCAAATTCCACGTTTAATGCAATCACCTACCTAGCTGATTGACTGACGCTAAGTTGGTCATGAGTACAGCTGCTTGGATGATCTGACAGAAGAAGAGAACTCTGAAGATTCTTTTGGAAAAGAACAGTGGGGAAGTAAAAGAAGTGAATATTCTCCTAATTTTAAATATTAGAAATATCCCCCAGAAACAGCATTAATGGACAAAAATAGAAATACTGATCAAAGTTACATGCTATTTAGTGGTTCACTGAATAATTCTAACTTTAGCATATAAGGTACATATACAAAAGGGTATATCTGAAAATATATTCCTTCAAGCATACGAAATAACTTGTGTATGCTTGAAATGTATCTTGAAAAATATCTTACAGCAAAATCTAGTTAATTGCAACCCAAAGCACTGTAGATTTTTTTCCATTTCCAAGTATATTATAGAAGCGTAAACCAACATTAAACAACTATTTAGAACAGGCAGTAAAATCATTATTTTGCTAATACAACACAGGCAGAGAGAAGTAGACGCCAACCACTTAACTGTAATTCTGTCATGACAGAAGCACTGATACGGGCTATGTTTTCTGGCAGAGTTACCATCTGTGAGGTATTTATTCCTGCCCCTGCTCACTCCTCCACTAAGCAAGCAGAGCACAGTAGCTCAGTAGTGAAGAATGACACGTACTGCTGTGCTGCACGTTACTTTTAACAACAGGATGTCATCAGGTCTCATACACAACCTAAAAACCCTATGGTTTGATCTCGTTTACAAAGAATTTTTGTTTGGTTGGTTTTGTTTGTTTTGCACAAAACAGCAAAATTTCCAATGACTTCATTGAGGATTTAACCTCAAACTTTAAAACATTTACCTCAATTGTTTAAAATGCATTAACTGATTTCAACATTCCAGTCATTCAGTATTTAGACAATATTATTCCAGGAAAAGAGCTAGATATCATAATAGTGCAAAAAAAAAAAAAAAAAAACTTACCTCAGAAAGACTGCTTATTTTTATTGCATTTAAGAGGTTACTATTCAAAAAAGCTTCTATTTCTCTAAGAGTTTTATTCTGTATATACAAGAAAAAGAATTAAAGAAACAAATAAAACAAAATTGCTTTTAAACGGCTACTGGCTTATTTTAAAAGAAATGATATAAAAGTTTTAATTTTTTACACTGAAAGACAAATTAGCTTTTTATACCATTGCAGTACTGATAAAGATGAAAGTGCCACTAAAATAACCATGTATCGACCCATTTTGTCCATGCATCAATGGACAAAAAAAGTGACCACATACAAAAAAAACCCCAATAACAACAAAAAAAAACCCATGAACAATAATTTGCCATGATATGCTATAACTTCACAAATTTCGCTCCAAGACTTGAATGCTTTAGACTACCATTTTAAGAAGTAATATTATGCTTCTAAAGAAAAACTAAAGTTTGGTTCAGCTGTTCTAATGTTAAGTGATACTATTTACACCATACCAAACAGTTTAGTTTTCGACGAAGCAAGATATTATGAAATTGCAGCTCTTCCGCTTCTTTCTGAAGAAAAATCTTCTCATTCTTTAGCTTCCGAGACTTTTCTTTTTCTACACTCAAAGCCAGAGCTAATGCTTTATTATTTTGTTTTAAAGATACTTTAGAAATAGATGAGTTATCTAAAGGAAACAAAAATCATATCATTTTATTTCCATCAGCTTAAGTTCCACACTCACTCTGTATGAACTACCACCATCTAATAAGTTTTCTATCAATCCAGTTTGTTGGAAGAGTAGCAAAGCCCAATATTTTTGATATGAAATTACTTCTAGTTGCATAATGTTTCCAAGATTTCTCTGTCAAGTTAACAGCACAGATTCTGCTCTGGTTTGGATTTTTAATGTAACTGTATTTTAGGAAGAAAGCACTTTAACATAAGTTTTTATGTCTGTAAAGCTATTCATTTTTAAGTGCTTAGTGCTTTAAGAAAAATGAATAGCTTTACAGACATAAAAACTTATGTTACTTATTTTATAAATTTATTTATATATAGATTACAATTTTATATATAAATTATAAATTTTATAAATTCATTTATATTTATATAATTTTTATTATGAATTATTATCAATTACTATCAATTACTATTAATTATTATCAGTTATTATTAATTATTATCAATTTAAAAATTTATAAAAAGAAAACAGAAAACAAACAAATGCATGTTTTCCTACAATGAAAAAGTACAAAAAATTTGGGCAGAAATGTGAGATTCACCACGAGGAAGAAAGAAATTTTAATGAGAAATTAAATTACAACTTTCACTGCTGTTTAAAAAAAAAATCTATTCATATCTTTCATAAAATATTGTAGAACTTTTTATTATTTTCCCTGTGCAACATATTAATGCAACATTTTAACAATATGCTGCTAAATTTTTTGGCTTCATGCTTACGCTACACACATAGCTATAGGGAAATACTATTTTCTTCCATTGAAAAATGGTAATTTCGGCATAAAAACATAGTAAGTTCAAACATCGATATTAACAATAGCTCTTACGATACCAGTCACAGAAGAGAAGTCGTCACACAGTTAACCGTATTGTTCAAATTAGGGAGTTTGTAAGTAGTGATGCACCGCTACATCTATAGTTTCCCTTAAATGTCTAAGACAAATAACTCATGGAGGTTAGAAATGCATCAGAGTATAACACTGTCTTTAAACACTGTCCATGCCAAAGACCAAGCACTGAAAATATTTAAAGACTGAGATAACTAATTTATGTATTTTAACCTTCAGACTGTCCTAAAATTCTCAACATACTATATTAACATTCTCAAAACCGGGAGCAATTCAGGTATTTTACTATTCCTTTTTAATTCACTACCCTGCAAGAAGTAAATGGCTTCCACTTTACCAGGACTTACTTATTAATTTAGCTTTTATTTTATACGCTAGCGAAGTGTTCAGTCTTGCAGCTTGCAACGTTCTATCCTTCTTCATACGTCCTTTAGCAGCATCCATGGTTAAAACGGCAGATGTTTCAGCAGTTTCTCGGTCATTCATCATCAAAATGAACCTGTATCTTCTCAAGAGGAACACCCACACAATAAAAACATGSTTTTGCTCACATTTTTTTAAGCTGTAACCCTTCATCAGGCCTTATTACCTCTGGAATGGAGAGAATGGTTCCAGTTTTCAAGATGTTGGCTACTACCTAAAGCGGAACTTCCGTTCAAGTTCAAAGTAACATTATAACAGAGACTGACTAAAATATGTAGCTAATAAAAATGAAGAGTGAAAAGATTACAGATATTTACCTTGTCTATTCTCTTAACGAATCCAGTTTTACACTTGAGAGAAAAAAAAACCAACTACTACTACTTCATAATGTAACCAATCTTTTTTTTTTTTCCAATACAAGTTTTACAAGCTAAATTTTTAAATAAGCAACATCAATTTATTCCTTTCTCCAGAATCCAAATGCTGTAGCCATTGGACCACGCCCCACACATTTTARTGCTCCTAAAGCTAGCTGAAAAACCCAAAAGAGTAAGGCTTTAAGAAATGCTTGGTTTATAAGAAAAGCTGAGATATCTTTCCACACATTAAGATCTAAAATTTTATGAAAAACTACAAACCGCGCTGGCCTTGTTTTAAAACATCAACATTTAGCACCCTAATCTTAAGTCTTACGTAACTGTATGCTCCAAGAGGGCAAGAACTAGGACTAGACACGAGTGCCCACGCAGCCGAGACTCGTCCCTGAACACGAGTGGGCAAGGGGCTGCTTTCCCCCACAAAGGGCTTCCAGGAGGCAGCTCTCCAGCAGGCGCGGCCGTTGGCCGTTACCCGGCGGCCGTTACCCGGCGGCCGTTACCCGGCGGCCGTTACCCGGCGGCCGTTACCCGGCGGCCGTTACCCGGCGGCCGTTACCCGGCGGCCGTTACCCGGCGGCCGTTACCCGGCGGCCGTTACCCGGCGGCCGTTACCCGGCGGCCGTTACCCGGCGGCCGTTGGGCCACGCCCCGCGYGAGGGGKGGGGGTGGCAGCTGCCTCGAGGCGCCGGCCGGGCTATGGAGCCCGGCGCTCACGCGAGGCACCCAGCGAAAGTGGAGAAAACGTGTTCAGATGCCACGTGTTTTGACGTAGCATAGAATAAAAGCTGTTATTTGCTAAATTCTTTGTACCTGAYTTGAATGCATACAACACAATGCCAATAAACAAAAAGTTCAAAAGTGCATCCAATTGAACTAAATAGGTAAAATTCCAACTTACCACAGCTTTTTGCTTTTTTTTTTTTAATGTTGATCCAGATCATGAAATCCAAGACATGACATACTCACACTAGCATTTCCCGYCCTAGGAGAGGTTTGGGGTTATTTGGCCTGTTTTTTAAGGACTTCCTTTGCATTAAAAGGAGAAGTCCACTCAATCCCCTTGCAGTGGAAAGCTGGACATCTTTTTGGCTGATCTTTAGCTAGTAGCCATAGAAGAAACAATGCAAGTACCACTTAAAGAATTTTTCTTTCCTGCATTTTCTTAATTTCTGTAGTAATTAATTTATACTTAATATAAGATAATAGAGTCATTTCTATAGTAATTTCCCAGTATGGCTTTGAAGTTACAAAATCCCATATGGCTATAGGAGCCCTTTAAAAAAATAAAAGATTTAATCTAGTACGCCTTTCCCATTACATTTACCCTCAAAAAGGCACCCTCGGAAGCACCTGTAGCCACTGTGAGACTACAACTGTTTCACATGTACAAATAAAAACACAATTAATGTCATGTAAGGGTACAAATAATAGCAAAGTCAGTCAAATAAATATAACTTACTGCCTTACCTTTCCAGCAGGCAGTATGTTTCCTCTRTCCAACCAAAAGCTTCCATCTGGTTTTAAAGTGGTCCAGCTCCTGAAGGAGCAGTCATCAATTTGCTTCCATTTAATGTTTATGTTACTACTGCTGACAATAAACTTTTAAAACATAAATATTATAATTCCATAGGGGGGTCATTCTTTCCTTTAAACTCTGCAGAGGAAATCCTGCACTGTGTTTTACATGTGAAAACTTAACAGTTACTCAAAGTGAGGGAGAGCCAAAAGCACTGCCAAATTTCTCAGTCTATATATCTTAAGAATTTATTTACAGTAGAAATCTGKTTTTCAGTGATTTGGGATCTTAAAACTGGCTTTTAAATTGTGCAGACAAAAACTATAGCGTGTCCCACAACTTAGTAGGTATTAGAAAAGAGAGGGAGCTGAAAGCAAGACAGATGCAGGCCTGTTTGAAGAGCCCTAACCATGTGGCAATAACATTCTTGTCATGTGTATTATATGATTAATAACTGGATTTTATTGGACATTAGCTCACAATTAAAGTGTATTGTTAAAACTTGAAGTTGGGCTATCTTTTGTTGTGTTTTCTGGATATATAGTTGGTTTGTATACTTTCAAGCAAACTTCATGGGAGCACAGAGCTCAAGCCTGTTCACCTTTACATATAAATACTATAGATGTGTGGCATATGTATCAGTATATGGCCTTACTGTATGGGACAGGAGAAGAAACGGCTCAGAATCCTGTTTTGCCTTGGGAGCAGAATTTGCTAAACACATTTTAGAAATAAAGATCAAGTCTTAAAACCATTTTCTGTCCTTATCTGTATTTTTAGTAAGCACTGAGGGGCAAAAGTACAACATGAATCTTGCTCTATTTTTTTTCATTTTTCAATTGCTTACGAATGCATTTTGGTGAACAAGCAGCTATATTACAGACATAAGCAATTTTTAAGATACTGTTTCTTCATGTGTGTGTGAAATGTCTGTGTGAGGGTGAAAGACCTTGCGCACATTTACCCATGCTTTTTTGGGGAGCAAACTATTATTGCCTTAAAAGGCATACAAGGCTGAAGCTGCTGTATTTCAAAACAGATAAGCTAATTGAGCAGAAAATGTTGCTGTCAAAAACTGAATGTCTAAAAAGGAGCCAGAAGAGTCCTAAAACTTTATTTGAATAAAGGGAGAGTCCATCAGACGTATTCCTGTAGGGTCTCTCAAGTTGCTGGAGGTTGCAGCCCCCTTTTTATCCTGATTTCCTGACCGAGGTGGCCATCTCCCTTTCCCCACTGGCCCAAGTACTCAGAAGTTACAGCCTTCCCCACTCCCTCTACCCAAATCCCTCCCTCCTTCCACGTGTTCTCACCTAAGGTCCCCGACTCTTTGTTCCCATCACTCCAGGCTCTGCTCAGTCTTCCCCCTGCATATATTCCTTTGTCCTGCTCAAGAATGAGGAGCAATTTCCTCCTCTGCAAAGACACAAACTTACAAACTTGTGTATGTGTTCCGCTCAAAAAGCCCTCCTTTTTCTCCTTTTTTTTTTTTGGAAGTGCAGTGGACTCTGCACAGATTATTAACTAACCACCTGGGTTCAGTAGGACTGGCCACCCACAGATAGTCTTCATACCCTCCTGGACTCCCACAGACCCACATTTATTCTCCTGGCCCACTCCCAAGCAGAGGCCCAGACCCAACCAGGTGCAGATCTACGGGG